TATGATGACAACGACAGTGGTTACATATAAATATATTTTAATTGATCAAAATTATTGCTAGGAACAATTCAGTTGCGCCCCTACTAGATTCTTTGTCCTTTGAATTGAAGGCATTTTTTATGAACAAATTTGGAAAAAACAAAAAAGTTTCCAAAGTCTAATTTAGTCTGGGATAGATCGCGTCATCTGCCTCAGGCAATGGCAGCACGGAGCACAAGTTAAATGAACAATTCTTCACTTTAATAATAGAAGTTACAGCATGAATGTACATCAGATGATATGTTGAAAAATAAAGTACAACTACAACCACGCATCATTTCTGTGCCTATAAGCGGTTTTAACCAGTGAAATCATCAGTATAACAGACTGTGAAGAATGTGTCAGTTACGTGACATTTACCTCAGGAAGATAAAACCGTCTAATCATATCGCCAAAATTATAAATACATTAGGCCTATACATTTGTGTAGAATATAAACAAGTTTTTATAACAACTAGGGCTGGGCAAAAAAATAGATTTTTCGATTAATCGTTTTTTTAAATGACGTTGATTCGATATTGATTCTCAAAAGCTGCGAATCGATCTTTTCCGGTATTAATTTCAGCACACATTTAAAACAAGATCTGATTAACGTGAATCTTATCATTAGTCTTCTCCACTAGATGTCACCCTTATTTACCTTGCGTGATGTTACAACAGAAAGCCTGTCATTCATTCAGCGCTTATCATGGCCATACGCGTGATTCGCAATGCTCAGGTGAAATGCTATAGTAATACTATAAATCTGCGGAAGCATTAGATTTCACACATAAGGCGCCATGATTTCCGCAATGAATGAATGGTGGATGCTGCGGCGCACTGTTTTCTTTACTACACACATACAAAAGCCCGGATGACGCTCGCGGTGTTTTCAGCTTCTGCTGTCTCACTATATGATGATATGAACACAAATGTCATCTCCAGCTGCTCTGAGAGTCACTTCATTAGCATTTTACCGTTTCATTTGAGAAAACTAGCCTACCGTCATATCACATACACATCAACTGCAAGTTCTTCACGGCAACCCGTCAAAATAAAAGTTTAGTTTAACGTTAAGAAACTGTCAGAATATATTACTATTTAGCAGTCTTAAGACTAAATGCTACTACTGCTAATAAATATTAATAAATCTTTATTTTTAAAGGAATAATCACATCTGTTTTATTTTTAATTTTAACAGTAAACCTCTGTTGTGAAGCACTTTGTTTGCCAAAAAATAAAAGGATTTAATTTTCATTTGATTAGGATAAATTAAATTAATGTTTTATGCCTTCACCTGATTACCAGAAAAATTAAGAACATTTTATAGGGCCCTATTATTGTTTAAAAAAGAACCCTATACAAAAAAAAGAATAGGTTTAAAATACAGGCATGTGGTTCTTAATTTCTTTTTATTAATTCACCATTTGTAAACTGATGTTTACTGTTCATTTTTTAGAAATATCAATAGCATTTGTATCAAAACTATATTCACTGAATGTAATCAAAAAAACCATTTAAATGACTGTTCCCCTGGTTTCCTCGACAAGGCTTAAGCCTAATGCCAGACTAAAATCTAAGTCTGAGCTGTTTCAACTGAAAGAAACTTGCTCTGACAGACCTTAAAATATATCAGTGCCTTTATTTTGTCTCAAAATGCACACCAGTAATTTTTTTTCTAAGGCACGTTTATAACAATTACTTAAATGTCCTAATTGAACTATGGCCTAATCCTGGCTTAGACTAAGCCCGGTCTGTGAAACCAGGCCATATCTCAAAAATTAAGCATATCATAATCACAAAATTAGTAAGCTTTTTTTATAAAAAA